CGTGGTGTGGTTTCTCTGTACCCACAGTGTTCACTGTGTAGTGTTGTAGTAGGCAGTGTCTCCTGTATTCTTGTCTGTATTCACGTGGTGTGGTGTCTCTGTACCCACAGTGTTCACTGTGTAGTGTTGTAGTAGGCAGTGTCTCCTGTATTCTTGTCTGTATTTACGTGGTGTGGTGTCTCTGTACCCACAGTCTTCACTGTGTAGTGTTGTAGTAGGCAGTGTTTCCTGTATCCTTGTCTGTATTCACGTGGTGTGGTGTCTCTGTACCCACAGTGTTCACTGTGTAGTGTTGTAGTAGGCAGTGTCTCCTGTATTCTTGTCTGTATTCACGTGGTGTGGTGTCTCTGTACCCACAGTCTTCACTGTGTAGTGTTGTAGTAGGCAGTGTCTCCTGTATTCTTGTCTGTATTCACGTAGTGTGGTGTCTCTGTACCCACGGTGTTCACTGTGTAGTGTTGTAGTAGGCAGTGTCTCCTGTATCCTTGTCTGTATTCACGTGGTGTGGTGTCTCTGTACCCACAGTGTTCACTGTGTAGTGTTGTAGTAGGCAGTGTCTCCTGTATCCTTGTCTTTATTCACGTGGTATGGTGTCTCTGTACCCACAGTGTTCACTGTGTAGTGTTGTAGTAGGCAGTGTTTCCTGTATTCTTGTCTGTATTCACGTGGTGTGGTGTCTCTGTACCCACAGTGTTCACTGTGTAGTGTTGTAGCAGGCAGTGTCTCCTGTATTCTTGTCTGTATTCACGTGGTGTGGTGTCTCTGTACCCACAGTGTTCACTGTGTAGTGTTGTAGTAGGCAGTGTCTCCTGTATTCTTGTCTGTATTCACGTGGTGTGGTGTCTCTTTACCCAGTCTTCACTGTGTAGTGTTGTAGTAGGCCGTAACTGTAGCGTGGCTCTACAGTGTTGGCTGTATGGTGCTGTAGTATGTTGGTTCTCTGGTATCTATGTCTGTGTTCACTTTGCGAGGTGTTACTACAGTGTTGGCTGTATGGTGCTGTAGTATGTTGGTTCTCTGGTATCTATGTCTGTGTTCACTTTGCGAGGTGTTACTACAGTGTTGGCTCTATGGTGCTGTAGTATATTGGTTCTCTTGTATCTATGTCTGTGTTCTCTTTGCGAGGTGTCACTACAGTGTTGGCTGTATGGTGCTGTAGTATGTTGGTTCTCTGGTATCTATGTCTGTGTTCACTTTGCGAGGTGTCTCTACAGTGTTGGCTGTATGGTGCTGTAGTATGTTGGTTCTCTGGTATCTATGTCTGTGTTCACTTTGCGAGGTGTTACTACAGTGTTGGCTGTATAGTGCTGTAGTATGTTGGTTTTATGGTATCTATGTCTGTGTTCACTTTGCGAGGTGTTACTACAGTGTTGGCTGTATGGTGCTGTAGTATGTTGGTTCTCTGGTATCTATGTCTGTGTTCACTTTGCGAGGTGTTACTACAGTGTTGGCTCTATGGTGCTGTAGTATATTGGTTCTCTGGTATCTATGTCTGTGTTCTCTTTGCGAGGTGTCTCTATAGTGTTGGCTGTATGGTGCTGTAGTATGTTGGTTCTCTGGTATCTATGTCTGTGTTCACTTTGCGAGGTGTTACTACAGTTTTGGCTGTATGGTGCTGTAGTATGTTGGTTCTCTGGTATCTATGTCTGTGTTCACTTTGCGAGGTGTCACTACAGTGTTGGCGGTAAGGTGCTGTAGTATGTTGGTTTTATGGTATCTATGTCTGTGTTCACTTTGCGAGGTGTCTCTACAGTGTTGTTAGACTGTCTCGGCGCCGTCATGTACTGATGATCTATGTTCTCATACGCAGATGGAGAGGCGTATATGTGAGCTCGGACGTCTGAAACAAAGAAACAATTCGTGTCTGAATAAGATCGCGTGTTATTCCAATGTTATACTTCAGTTCTAGTATCTCGTTCTACTGTAACAAGAGAATAATTCTTTGCAACTTGACAAAGTAAAATGGAAAATAACTACTAACGTTTTCTCTTTTTTATTCTCATCCATGTGAATACGATGATCAAGGTAACGCCGCCGCCAACCACGACCCCACCTGCAGCGCTCGTGACGATGAAGATGACGATGTCTATTAACATGAGCGAAAGACCTTTGTCGTCTTGGAAAACGTTCAGCTGTACAGATTCAGCACTGTTATAATTGACCCTTTCCCAAACTGTATTGAATCGATATACGTTTTAATTGAGATAACATATTTTGTTACAAACTTCAGCGCTATTCGTCTCATTCTGTGTGCACTAGTATACATCATTAGTGTATACCCAGTGACCAAACAGCTCAGCAGACTTGTATACATATATACACGTTATACGTTTTAAGAAAGAAAGCGCGTTTATATAGTTGGATGTTTGAACCAAAATCCTTTGAAACTTTGAAATGTGGGTATAAACCTGGGAAGTGCTTCCAAAAGTGAACTCATTGAGGGAAAGGAGCAATGTTGTCAACATGTTTTATCTGATAACATATGGCCGCCTCCGTGGTCTAGTGGGTAGAATGTCTGCCCGGAGACCGGAAGGTCGATGCTTCGATCCCCGGCCGCGTCATACCAAAAGACGTGAAAATATGGCACTTGTTGTTACTCTGCCTGGCGCTCGACATTAAGAGGACAAAACAACAACTGGTCGGCTCGGTGACTCAGTTGATGCATGTCATTGCTTCCCAGTTGCGTTGATTGATGCTCGTATTGTCAGTCACTGGGCTGTTTGGTGTTAAACAACAAACGAACAAACAAAGGGCAAGAGCAAGGAGGTAATGCAGGCATTGTTTATCTTATTTCATTGAAAGGTACGGTCACCATGATCAGCAGCTGCGTTTACCTGGACAGTTCCTGGTCACAGCATGTGTGTGACCACAGACGGACACATCAGTTGTAGTGTCGACATTTGTTGTTCCGGACGAGGATGTTGATGTTGACGTGGGTGGAACAGTCGTCGAAGGCACTACAACACCTGAAGAAATGGGAATAGGACGATTAGCTTTTACCAGAAATGACATAATTTATTGACATATCCAGCTGCTTTACTGTTTGTGAGAATATGGTTACAGTCGATAGCAGCCACTTGCTGTTCATATAAGCAAAGACAGCGAGAACTTGTTATGCAAACGTCACTTATTTTGAGTGAGTGAGTTTCACGCAGCGTTCAGCAAGATTTCAAAATAACGTCATGGGACATCGCAATTGTCATCGGACATTATACACATGTCGGGAATAGAGCCGTTTCCCCCGACATGACGAAGGAACGCATTAGTTATCAGGCTGCACGATCGCCCTCTTATCTGAACTAGAACGTATAAACATATTGTATATTGACTCACTTATTATAAGTTTATTGCTCGTCTGACTCAGCGATCCATCAGAACCCTGCCACACAGATCCATCGTCTATATCGGCGTCTATCCTGAGAGTCACATTGTGTTGGGAGACATCAGACGTGTTGATACGTCCCAATAGGAAGGTGTTGAAGATGTCAGTATTCGGTACACTGAGACTTGAGGGTTCACGCATCGTGTAGAAGACGCATTGGTCATCTCCAAACCACTGTCTACTTTTTCCCTTGCTCGGGCTGCTGCTGCAGATCAGTGTCAAGGCATCGCCATCAGTTGTTGTCTCTGGGAAACTTCTCAGAATCACCGAACCTGTTGATGTATCACACAATCATATATCTAATGTTTTTGGTTTGTAAAGTTGAATGTGGATGCTACATCGCAACAAACTGATGCTGTGACAAATACCTTTACTATAACGACAACAGTGCTGTTCCCAACTAAAATGGAGAAATTGTGAAAGGTATATTTTGAAATGTCAGTCAGTACTGATATTGATAATGACCTCAGCGACAATACTAGAGAACTTTAACTTACATTAACAAACTGTCACTTCCCACAGACTGTGGGAATCCCGCATACCACCACCACCACCCACATGGCCAGGTCCATGGCACACTTCCTGCTGGGGCATGCGGCAAACTGGTGCCCTGGTATGACGTACTTTGAAAGACTTCGATTCAAGACGTTTGCCAAAACCTTGAAATGAGCAGGACCGGAACAAGATGATCTATATTTAACTACAGGAGTCGTATGTACCTTGAAAGGAGTTGGTATACAGACTCCACACCATGTCTAGACGGCCTGCTGTGTAACAATGTACAGGCCAACCCAATCCATCTGTCAGAGTACATCTCATTGACATTCATCATGGCTGATAAACAACATTGTATGTGAGCATTTGGCAATCACGTGACAGTAGTTTACAGTTGCCTATTCGGGTGGCATGTCGACTAGATTGCGTCTGCGTGACAAAAGAGAGTTTTCTGTATCTGTGTAAATCATTACTATCAGATTCTTACAAGGAAGCAGTCACAGTCAATCAGTTTCCCTTGCTAGCGATAAAGGAATAAATAGCGTGTGGCTCGTTATATCCTTATGTCAGCCAGTGCTCACTCCGACTACTCCCCTGTATGATGAACTTCTGTTTCACAGAGATGCCTATACTCACAAAATCTCACGTAAAACGGTCTGAACACAGAGATTACACTGGACATGAACCGGTCCGACTAACTACTTAATAACTATTTCATAACTGCATTATATAGGGACATTATTCCTCAATAAAGAATAACATAATATATGCATTTATTTATTTTCCATCCTGATTTAGACCTGGTTGTTAGCCCTGATTAGGTATAGTTACAGTACGCCCTGATATGACTACAATACTGTTGACTATCGCATAAATAGAAATACTGCAATAAGCTGGTATTTAAGGTGAGTGTGATATTCTATTTATTGCCCACGTCAAACCAAACCGAAACCGATTGGATAGGTATATGCCCAAACATGGGCTTTGTTAATATTTTTAGGCACACGAATTATCAAAGTGTTTTGCTATTGTGTGTGTAAACATGACATTAGCAACGATCAACATCTTTATTTACGTCTTATTTCACCTAACTGTAATTCAAGCGCACAGAACAGCTGTAAGAACTCCCAACAAAACGTCAGACAGCGCCACTCTCTCGGGCCGACTATCCGTGTCTCACAATCCCGGCATCGATGTGTACTCAACCCACGTGATGACCTAGCACGCAGAATCAAAAGTGATGTTAGTTGCTGTAAATGGTCAAATAGATTAGTTCGGACATATATAACCCAGCAGAGTGTGTAACATCTGGCCTACTAGCGTCATGTTGGGATGAACATGGTTATTTTCACCAGCAACGGTCATGTCCCAAAAGTCCAGGTAATACACTCTGTCCTGAATGGGTTCAAATTCTTTCTTCAGTATCTGTTGATGAATGGTCCCCCAGTAGTCTTCAATCACACCACGTGCGAACGTAGTGATACGAAACGAGTGCGGGCCTTTCACGAATACCCTCGCTTCCGGGGCACGTTCCAGAAGCGCCTTCACTGATTGCACAGTCCGCCTGACGTGCGTCCTTAGCAACGTGGGAGGGTAGGCTGTGAAGTGGAGGTAGAAATGAATGATGACGATGTCTCGGTTGCCTCTCGGCAGCTCGTCTAGGTAGGCGTGGGTGGCCTTGTGTGCTTCCATGGGAGTAAACTCACCGGAGTTTGTGAACGGCAACTCGTGAGTGCCCCAGAACACAGCGTAGTTGTATTTGGTGCTGGAGAGAGTAGAGGGGAGCGGCCATGCTGGGTAGCGCCATATGTCGGACACCAGAGTCACCTTCTGGCGTTGCTTCAGATATGAGAACCACTGGCGCAGTGTGGAGTCTCCATGCATCCATATTCTTCTGTTACGAAGACACTCGTCCCAGCTCCGTACAGTGTTGGGAAGGGTGTTGGTGCAAGCCGTGGAGCACCATGTCCAGTTGAGGAAGTAACCGACAGGAGGTGCTTGTCTCCACGTGACAAGTGCTGGAATTTGGTTGCATGGTGTCTGTACACTGAACGGGCCTCTACCTGAACAAGGTAAAATAGAGAAAATGATTTATGAAAGATTATTTAAATACGTCGTTTGTCGATGGTTACTGTGTAATTTGCGTTCATTCGCGAATGTTGGTAGGGGGTTGACTAACTGTTTGAAGAGTTACACCAATACAAGGAGATTCTAGGATTCAATAGGCCGTCAATACACACATACAGACAGGTTTCGGCGTTTCTAGGGACATGAATGAAATTCTTTCGAATGGTTTTTTTTCAAATTTTAAGTAAGAGAGATACTCGTTACTCGGATATTATCTGGGTTGTGATATTATGCCTTTCTACATATATTTCCTAACAAGAGGTAAAAACACATTATTTTCATGATTTCATTATTTATAATATAAATCATACCATGAGCCTCCACGGTGACATGCTTGTGAATATTCTGTTGTACATTATGTCTGAAATTGGAAAATATGTAATAAATCATATCAGTATTCATATGAGTCCGTATTAGAAATAATAAAACACAAGAGTTTCCATAGTTTGGCGTCTCTATATTAATTGTCCATGGTCAAATAGAAATTCCATTATCATAGAAAGAAGACCCAATAAATATGTTATCCTAATAAATAAAATGTAGCAGCAATAATGTGTTTTGGATGATTTACTTTTCAAACAGCTTACGCTCCTCTTCAAACATTGGCCATGGAGGCTGGGAACCACCTATCCGGGTCCACTCTGCGCATGTCAGTACTTCCGGATGTCCACAATACCAGGGGAGGCCATAATGGCGTCTAGTCAGGTTACAGACTCGCGTGTAGCCGAGCAGAAAGGGGGAGGGACCACACAACGTCATCTCATACATGAATCTTCTCTGAAATATCGCAAACAACTGCCTCACCAAGTGGCCTTCTCTGTGGATTTTATACAACACTCTCACGGCCTCTCGGGACAAGACAACTGCCGCAAGAACGTCCACCCGTCCTGGCCACAAAACACGAACGACGCCAGTATAACTTCCGTTTCCGTGATCAACCACATATCCTCTTGCGCATGCGCCGTGACTTACTTCCTTTATCCACACCCGGACCCTGTCCCCACCTCGAAGTATACGTTTGTTGTATCCATTCAGCAACTCTATTGATACGTGTATGACTTCACCCACTTCGTAAAATTGTTTAGGATTCAGAAGTGTTGCTCTTGAATATGAAGCATTCGCTAAAGCTAGCTCATCAATTCTTCGATCCCCGTCGAATCTATAATCGATTACATATTCCCCGTCTTCGTATAACCCGTTCAGCACAACATCGTCGAATTCGGTGAACAGATCTTCGTGTTTTAGCCTCGGAAGACGCTCGGGAAACACAACGTCTCTGTCACGTGGAGGTATGTCCGACTGATCCGGTATGGATGGATTTGGGTGGTTTCCGAGTGGTTCATAATTGATTGTAGACCTGTGGAAAGAACCACATAAGACCATAAAACGCCACAAGAAGAACAGCATGTCATATGATTACTCGCCCATCTTCCTGTTATCCAGGCATGTAACACAACCGGCAACATTGTTGAATGTTTATAGGAGACTTTACTTCTGGGCCTACCCTTAGAACTCAGCACCACAAAGCTAACAAACATCCTACATTACCTCCAACACGCTACCTAGAACACACGCCCACCACATAATCATCGGTCACAGTCATATCAGCAGTCTCTTTATCGTCTGCAGCAAAAACCTGCAGTATTCAGCCATACTTCAGGGCTTTCAGCTCGCAGTGGTTGTGCCAGTAGGCTCATTTTCGGCAGTAACTCGGGTTATTTTTGCCCATAACTACAGATCGGGATTGTCCCCTTGGTTTATGGAATTTGTAAATTGTATTGTCATCGGAAACAACTATTTTCACAGCCTGGACAGTGCAGAGTAACGGAGTAAGTCGAGTTCAGCCAGTTTGAAGTCTGTAGTGGAGAGATAGTCATTCGTAATATGTATAATTGAGATATTTCAAACCAACTGCTACATAAGAACAACTTCAAAATACCTAAATCCTGTTATTTAAAGTTTGTTGGAGAAATAAATTCGTTCATCTTTTTTGGCACTATTTCTACAACATGTCAACCCTAACAATGGGGAGATGTCATATTGATTTTTTTTTTAAATGACTTGGTTGAATGGAAATATGCATTAGTTTGCGATGAAATTAATTATATCAATTCCTTTTGAAAAACTATTAATTTTGTTACCATTATTTTGAATTGACTTTGAATAATATTTGTTTTGCCTATCACTTCCTGTGACCCCTTTACGGAACGTTCTAAGATTGCTTCCCTGTGTAACCACGTGTAATTACGCGTTCCAAAAAGACCACCTCTTCTTGTCGGCATCGTAGAATGTTAATGTCCTAAATGTGTTCATCCCTTCCGAAACTTACGATTAAACCAGATATAACAGGTGATGGACACTTGAACACAGGAGTAAGCGAGACATTTAATGTGACGCAAGACAGCGAGGGACACTTGAACACAGGAGTGAGCGAGACATTTAATGTGACGGCAAGACAGCAAGGGACACTTGAACACTGGAGTAAGCGAGACATTTAATGTGACGGCAGGACATCGAGGGACACTTGAACACAGTAGTAAGCGAGACATTTAATGTGATGGAAAGACAGAAAGGTACACTTGAAGACGGGAGTAAGCGAGACCTTTAATGTCACGGCAAGACAGCGAGGGACACTTGAACACAGGAGTAAGCGAGACATTTAATGTCACGGCAAGACAGCGAGGGACACTTGAACACAGGAGTAAGCGAGACATTTAATGTCACGGCAAGACAGCAAGGGGCACTTGAACACAGAAGTAAGCGAGACATTTAATGTCACGGCAAGACAGCAAGGGGCACTTGAACACAGAAGTAAGCGAGACATTTAATGTGACGGCAAGACAGCAAGGGACACTTGAACACAGAAGTAAGCGAGACATTTAACGTCACGGCAAGACAGCAAGGGACACTTGAACACAGAAGTAAGCGATACATTTAATGTCACGGCAAGACAGCAAGGGACACTTGAACACGGGAGTAAGCGAGACCTTTAATGTCACGACAAGACAGCGAGGGACACTTGAACACAGGAGTGAGCGAGACATTTAATGTGACGGCAAGACAGCGAGGGGCACTTAAACACAGGAGTAAGCGAGACATTTAATGTGACGCAAGACAGCAAGGGACACTTGAACACAGGAGTAAGCGAGACATTTAATGTGACGCAAGACAGCAAGGGACACTTGAACACAGAAGTAAGCGAGACATTTAATGTCACGGCAAGACAGCAAGGGACACTTGAACACTGGAGTAAGCGAGACCTTTAATGTAACGGCAAGACAGCAAGGGGCACTTGAACACTGGAGTAAGCGAGACATTTAATGTCACGGCAAGACAGCAAGGGGCACTTGAACACGGGAGTAAGCGATACATTTAATGTGACGGCAAGACAGCAAGGGACACTTGAACACAGGAGTAATCGATACATTTAATGTGACGGCAAGACAGCAAGGGACACTTGAACACAGTAGTAAGCCAGACCTTTAATGTGACGGCAAGACAGCAAGGGACACTTGAACACAGGAGTAAGCGAGACATTTAATGTCACGGCAAGACAGCGAGGGACACTTGAACACAGGAGTAAGCGAGACCTTTAATGTCACGGCAAGACAGCAAGGGACACTTGAACACAGGAGGAAGCGAGACATTTAATGTGACGGCAAGACAGCGAGGGGCACTTGAACACAGGAGTAAGCGAGACCTTTAATGTGACGGCAAGACAGCAAGGGACACTTGAACACAGAAGTAGGCGAGACATTTAATGTCACGGCAAGACAGCAAGGGGCACTTGAACACAGGAGTAAGCGAGACATTTAATGTCACGGCAAGACAGCAAGGGACACTTGAACACAGGAGTAATCGATACATTTAATGTGACGGCAAGACAGCAAGGGACACTTGAACACAGAAGTAGGCGAGACATTTAATGTGACGGCAAGACAGCAAGGGACACTTGAACACGGGAGTAAGCGAGACATTTAATGTGACGGCAAGACAGCGAGGGGCACTTGAACACTGGAGTAAGCGAGACATTTAATGTCACGGCAAGACAGCGAGGGGCACTTGAACACGGGAGTAAGGGAGACATTTAATGTCACGGCAAGACAGCAAGGGACACTTGAACACGAGAGTAAGCGCGACCTTTAATGTCACGACAAGACAGCAAGGGACACTTGAACACAGGAGTAAGCGAGACATTTAATGTCACGGCAAGACAGCAAGGGGCACTTGAACACAGAAGTAAGCGAGACATTTAATGTCACGGCAAGACAGCAAGGGGCACTTGAACACAGGAGTAAGCGAGACATTTAATGTGACGGCAAGACAGCAAGGGACACTTGAACACAGGAGTAAGGGAGACATTTAATGTGATGGCAAGACAGCAAGGGACACTTGAACACAGGAGTAAGCGAGACATTTAATGTCACGGCAAGACAGCAAGGGGCACTTGAACACAGGAGTAAGCGAGACATTTAATGTCACGGCAAGACAGCAAGGGACACTTGAACACGAGAGTAAGCGAGACCTTTAATGTCACGACAAGACAGCAAGGGACACTTGAACACAGGAGTAAGCCAGACCTTTAATGTGACGGCAAGACAGCAAGGGGCACTTGAACACGGGAGTAAGGGAGACATTTAATGTCACGGCAAGACAGCAAGGGACACTTGAACACGAGAGTAAGCGAGACCTTTAATGTCACGACAAGACAGCAAGGGACACTTGAACACAGGAGTAAGCGAGACATTTAATGTCACGGCAAGACAGCAAGGGGCACTTGAACACAGAAGTAAGCGAGACATTTAATGTGACGGCAAGACAGCAAGGGGCACTTGAACACAGGAGTAAGCGAGACATTTAATGTGACGGCAAGACAGCAAGGGACACTTGAACACAGGAGTAAGCGAGACATTTAATGTGATGGCAAGACAGCAAGGGACACTTGAACACAGGAGTAAGCGAGACATTTAATGTCACGGCAAGACAGCAAGGGGCACTTGAACACAGAAGTAAGCGAGACATTTAATGTCACGGCAAGACAGCAAGGGACATTTGAACACAGGAGTAAGCGAGACATTTAATGTGTTGGCAAGACAGCAAGGGACACTTGAACACAGGAGTAAGCGAGACATTTAATGTGACAGCAAGACAGCGAGGGGCACTTGACCACTGGAGTAAGCGAGACATTTAATGTCACGACAAGACAGTGAGGGACACTTGAACACAGGAGTAAGCGAGACATTTAATGTCACGGCAAGACAGCAAGGGGCACTTGAACACAGAAGTAAGCGAGATATTTAATGTCACGGCAAGACAGCAAGGGGCACTTGAACACAGAAGTAAGCGAGACATTTAATGTCACGGCAAGACAGCAAGGGACACTTGAACACAGAAGTAAGCGATACATTTAATGTCACGGCAAGACAGCAAGGGACACTTGAACACTGGAGTAAGCGAGACATTTAATGTGACGGCAAGACAGCAAGGGACACTTGAACACAGGAGTAAGCGAGACATTTAATGTCACGGCAAGACAGCAAGGGGCACTTGAACACAGAAGTAAGCGAGATATTTAATGTCACGGCAAGACAGCAAGGGGCACTTGAACACAGAAGTAAGCGAGACATTTAATGTCACGGCAAGACAGCAAGGGACACTTGAACACAGAAGTAAGCGATACATTTAATGTCACGGCAAGACAGCAAGGGACACTTGAACACTGGAGTAAGCGAGACATTTAATGTGACGGCAACTCTCTATATAGTCCAGGCAATCTAGGCCATTTTTTCACTAAACTTGGAACAAATTGCAACAGAATTTATTTTACCACAATGCATTTCTACAAGGTCCCGAAAACAACATACTAAAAGTCCCAAGCATTCCCAGTTTGGGAAATATGTCTAATTTGCATAATCCAATATGGTAACCGATTATCAATATATCTTCTATATTTCAGATGAGGGTCAATGTTTTGATGAAAAAAAGCATGTGTTGTATTGCGAAATAACCATATTATGTTTCTAAAAAGATATTCACAACAACCGAACGTTTTCGACTATTGACAAATCTGCAAAAATTCAAGATGGCCGCCAATTTCAAGATGGCCGACAAGTTTTCTAAATGTGTGTTTACACTATTGAATCTTTGAACTTTTCTACAATGGTGTGCTAGGACTTATATGCATAAAGCTTGGCACATTAACTCACTGAAGTATAGTTAACACTTTAAGATAAGAAATTCCATCACCAGAGCCCCATGGTGGCCCAAAATTCCAAGATGGCCGCCAAGTGTTTGATGGCTAGACATAGAATATCAAGACACTGTTGTTCTCTGATGACATATTTGAATGATTTGAACTTCTACATTTGAGTAAACAGACCCAAGGATGTATGTAGAATACTCAGTCATTTGCATAAATCCAATATAACCACCAAATACCAATTTTTACTCTTAAATGAGTTTAGATATCAATGTTGATTGTTATTGTCTGAATCTACTTATTAACATGACAATAAAGGCTATAACAAGTTTCGTTTTCATTCATGTAAATACTTTTTGGAACAAGTATTATCTATATGAGGTCCTCTCAGAATTTACACCAAA